ACAGTAGGAAACTCAGCCCAATACTTATCAAAGTTCACTTTCATTTTGTGGGGGCTTTTTCATTCCGGCAACTACAAATGGGTTGGGCTGCCGTAAGGAGCAAATTGGTGAAATTACCCCCTGTGTCTGAGTTCAAGAATCATACCCCAAGAATGCTTCGAAAGGGTAGTGGAGCCTTAGGAAGCACCCTAGTTATCTTCACCAACAAAAACAATGATCGCTCACAGATAAATTCTTAGCTTGGCATGAGAAGCTTGTGGGATGAGAGCAAAGCAATCATGAGTTTAGCATTAAAGAGAGAGAGGGCTGTGAATTCCTATGAGAAACAGGGGTTCTAAGGAAAGGGGAAGGATTCTAAGAAGGTTTGTTGAAGAGAGAGAGAGAGAGAGAGAGAGAGAGAGAGAGAGAGAGAGAGAGAGAGAGAGATGTCAAGATCTGGAATAGCTTGCCAGAAGAGAAAATTGGAGGAGATAGAGGAATATGGCTCGAAATTGAAGGGTTTCAGAGGTGAGAGATGATGCTTGCTCTCTGGGTATGGTTTGCTTGCCTTCGACTGAGTTGTCTTTCAATGGGTAGGAGACACCCCCTTTTATAGCCGCTGGAAGCTCCTCCTTCCCAAGAAACCCTAATGGCTTTTCTCCAATTTTGCCAAGTCTCCTCCTTCATTTCTCTTCTCTCCCTTTGACTCATCCTATTTTGTGAAATCCTTTTCTGTCCAAACACACAAAGACAAGATTTTTGGGAGCTCTAAGGCTTCCTCCCCTATTTCATGGCAAGGTCTGGTAAAGGAAGGAGATAGATAACGTTGGCTGGTCTGAAGGGTGTTTTGCTCAAGTATCCCTTGGTTTTTTTGATGGCTTGCGTTGGGTTTGTCTTTGGCCATGTGTTGGAGTCTCCCAACAGCCTGAGCGTACAAACATCTCTTGGTTTTCTATCATGGTTTCATTTCAAACCATGTGCTGGAGATTTTTTAGATATTTTCTAAGCCACTTGGGCCAACTTCTAAAGTGATAGACTATTTTTACTAAGGTGATGGGCCACTTTTCTAAGGTAATGGGCTAGCTTTTTCTCTCTTTCATGCTTACCCACATATTTGGGCTCAAGAAATGAGCTCGAGTTTTGGGGCTCCCAAGCAACCCAAAACTTCCATTTCTCAACTCATCAATAGGCCTCATGAATGCTCGTAACCATCCATACCACAACCCACTCAGCAAGCCCCGGGCATTTGCGTGGCTTGAGCCCACTTAAGCTTGTAGCGTGGCTAGGTGTAAAATAATGATTTTCCGCTTGGCATGGCATGTCGATTGGCGCGCTTGAATTTTATCGCCTTTGAAAAGGTATATGATGTTTGACAGGATAATTAGCATGGGCTCGTAGAGTCAGTGCATTTAATAGACTCATTTCAATTCTTAGCGTGACGGATTGTATGTTTATTTGGCATGGCACATGGATTGTGACTCATGCGAGCGTGCATGACAGACTTTTGCGGGCCCAAATCGGGTTTCTTCTCAGTAAGGTATCGCACTAGGCCAGGAATATATTTGGGCCTAACCTTGGATTTTTTGGGGCCTCAACATATTTCAGTCAAAGTACCCTTAAAAACAGTAAATTCAGAATATGCAGCAAGCAAATGATGCATGAATATCTATCAAATAATTAATAACACGACTTGAAGTAGGATAATACACACCAGAAAATATCTTTGTTGAAGAATAAAAAATTTGTAAAAACCCACTAACAAGTTGAGCTATTGTCCAATTTTCTTCATTAGATACTTGTAAAATACAAGAACGTGATCATTTACCTTTTGAACATACCTATGCAAAGGAGCTTTATACTCTATAGCAATACTCAAAAGCTCATAGGCAGACAGCTATGGGGCACATCATTGTCTATATTTTTCTTTCCCATATTGAAATCATTACAACATTTCACCCAAATTTCATGTCTCTTATTAGATCAATTCATGCTACATACAATATCAGTAATTTTATCAATAGAGGGAGATAAAACTTTAAGACCATCTTACACAATCCTTGCACAATCAAGTTTAATATATGACAACAACCAAGTACATTGGAGTCTGATTGTTGGGGTCAGGGGCCAATGCCGCCATAAAATTCTAAAGTTTTCCCTTTAATCTCTCTCAATTTTTTTAATTAAGATAGAGAAGAAAATCACAAGATGCTCATATCAGTATTGCCAAATAGAGGTAATGGAGGTGAAGAAACAACATTGGAGGCTGACATCTATACCACATTCTCTAAAAACATCTATCTCAATTGTTCGTTGAAGACTTTCTTGTTTTGATTTTGAATTTTTATGGTTACAACTTAGAACATAAAATAATCTATTAATCACAAACAGTTATCTAATTTAATCAGTGCTTAGTTACTCTGAGTCTTTGGAAGATTAAATAAAATCCTTCTGGTTGTTAGGTTTTGCACATGTTCTTGTATTAAATTTGTTCTCTATAGAGTTATCACAAGGAATCATAAACTATATGTTTTATATCCAGAAGCAACATCTAATAAGACTAATTTAATCACACTCTTCATACATGATGACCCAAAAAAATTGCTTAATCTCATCGCCCTTGTGCTCCAATTAATTAATTAGTCAAGCATAAGCATTATTTTTTTTATTTTTTCATACAAGTAATATTGAACGAAGAAATTCAAACACAAGATCTCAATCGTAAAAGTAACTATTTCTTAACCATCTGAATTATAAACTCCTTACATTATTATGAAAATCCAACTCAACCCAACCCAAGTGGGAAGTGAGAGCGATGGGCATTGATTGAAGCAAATTACAAATATGAAAGTATGTGGGGACAACTTTTCCATTGCTTTGAGAGACACACACACATGATTGCGTGGAGCAGCTGAGAGCCTCAAAGTTGTGATGGCCTAAAAGTTGAGGCAACGAACCAAACCAAACCAAACCCCGATTGTACTATCTTGCACGAAGTTGGGTCGGGTTAGTTGGTTGGCCTGTCCGTATAATCAAAACCTCCTTTTCTTTCTTATTTTTCTTCTTGCACTTCTGCAAAATCCAATTTCAATTTCAGCTGCAAACTTAGACCTCACAAGCCTTTTGCAATGCAACTTCTTCCACCACCACTCCTTATCATCATAATCTTTGTGTCAATTATTACGTGGGTCGTCTGTGCTTCCTATGAGTCTTGTCAAAGAAAAATCCAAGAGAAAAAAAGGACAAAGCATATTTAAAGAAGAAGAAAAAAGGCACCAAGAAGTGAAAAAGACATGCGCATAGATTAGCAAAAACCAACACCATCCATTGAAAAGTTTTCAGAAAAAATCCAAAAACAAAAACAAAAACAAGGACCGACCATCAATTTAGTGCACAAACATGCAGTCTGCTCTGTCTACATGTGAAAACTGTCCGCCAATCATCCTTCTCAGTTATTGTTTAATCAAAAGATCCACTCATAAACTATGATTAAAAAAATATTTTATCAGAGGGTAAACTGCCATTGTGAGCATGTGAGATGCAAAAATCAAAGGGGGGATGAACTTTCACACTGCATGAAAATTTTACATGAGAACAAGTGCTCAGCTCAGAGACATAACAGAGCATTTTAAGTTTCTAAAACAAATATTAATCTATTGGGTTGTTGAGAGTCCAAGGAATTGCTAAGCCTTGACTTAATTTAAAACCATTTTCTTTTTCTTAAAATTTTAGCAACATGACCCTCTTGGGTTGCTAGAAAAACACATTATGCAAAGAAGATCATGTGTACCCGCCGCTAATAGGGCAAATATTGCTGCCTTGAGACCACAATTTATCAATTTGATAATGGTAGGGTAATGTTGTGACATTAAATCATGTTGCCTATGGAGTGTGTATATGCTTTGTCAACCCATGATTAAAATCAACGCACCACTAATCCGGTTTTATTAGATATTAATCAAAGTACGGTTTGATCCCGGATGGATCCATTAATCTAAGTAACTGAATTTAAGCATAAATTAATGGGTTTAATTAGTTATAAGCACACAACATGGTTGGGTTGGGTATATGTCATGAGAGCATAATATACAGAGGCTGCAAATAGATTTGGCTGTCTTGGTCAGTCTTTCTGCCTACCAAGGCATGTGGGGGTCATATAAATGGGACATAATAATAATAATAATAATAATGGATAATTAGGCCTGTTCCATAATCATGTATAAAATATCTCACATTACTAGACCAAGAATTTGCAGCAATGGGTGGGGGTTCTGGGGGCTCACTCAGTCAAAGGTTAGCAGAAACACTTGGGTGTGGATTTCTCTACCCTAGACTAAGATGAGTGACAAAAACTGTACAGTCAAAACATAACTTGTATAATAGAATCTCAATCATATATACAAATTTGTAATACATGTTATATTTTACGGGAAATCTCGTCTTAAGTGATGGCAAAACTCACTTTGGGGTCCAATTAAATTATAACATGTATTACAAATTTGAAATCTTAAAGAAAAACTTGCAATATACATGCTACGTTTTAACATGACATTGATTGTCACTCATCTTATAATGTGGCGAGGATGCCCGCACCCAAATTTTTCTCAATCAAAAAGTCAAGAAAGGAGCAAAGTAATTGGCTAATTGCATTACTTCTAAGGGGGACATATAAGCATGCAATGCAATCATTATCATCAAACAAAAAGATCGTAATGCAATACAATGTAATAGTAAAGGTGAGCAGAGTCAATTAGGTGATGGGGTCTAAAAGCCTTGGTGAAAAGGCAATTTGGTTAGCTTATTATGTGACAATGAAAGAAGAGAGAAAGAGTAAGATGGGCAAATCCCATAATATACGTCACCTTCAGAAAAGTAAAGGGATTCACGTGTTAAGGGTCTAAAGGGTAGGGAAGGGAAGGGCCTGTTTGGGAGCGTGCGCCATGTGCTTTGGTGCAGTCGGCGACCTTGGTGAGATGAGATAAGAAAAATAAAAAATTTATAAAGAAAAAAGAAAAAGAGTGATGTTGCTCTAATCTCAAAAGGCCCATCTCACGGATCTTGCCCCTCTCTTTCTCTCCACCTCCTATATATATATATAATATAATCACACCAGCTCTCTACATCTAGATAGCTGCATAAAAGGCCTTGAGAGATTTCAGTCATCTGGGTCCAAAATATTCTAAACTCTGCTACTGCTCTGCAACATTATCAGCCTCTACATTGATTGGAACACCAATTTTGAAAAGCACACATGCCTTCTTGGAAAAAAACCATCACATCTCCATTCAGGAAAGCTTGCACTTTCTTCAACCAGCAGCCAGGCAGAGATCAGAAGAAATCCCAGCTGCAAGGTACATACATATTAATATTACCACTTTTCTGAAATGTTCTCTTGTTAGACTTACATTGGCAATGTAATGAGACGTTTATGTTGTTGGATTATGAATCTGGACCAATAATATGGCTAATTCTTATTAGAACACGTGGTCTAAATTCACAGTCTGACAAACAAGTCTATCGGATAATGATATGTATTGATGCCAATTGTATATGAGTCATAATATGGAACACAGTGAGTGATGTGTTCTTCCATGATGTTATGAACAGGGAGTGAAAGTAGCGTGATGGCTCTGCATGGTGAAGTGATGGCATGCTCATATGAAGATGTTCAGGTGATGTGGTCTATTCTGGACAAGTCCAAGCCCTCAGCCTGCAACATCACTGCTTCTTAACACAGATGGATGGCTATGGCTAAAAAATAGGCCAATATCCATCCCCAAAAACCAAAACGAAAAAATACCGAAAAAAAAAAAGAAGACCCAATTCAGCAATTAGCATATCTGTGTATACCATTTGGGTCATGCTAGCTTGCGTCATTTTGGTTCTCATGAATTACTTGTAGATAGAGATGTGTTAGATGATCATCTTGTTCAGCTGTTCAAAACTACCAAGAAAAAAAAAAAAAAAAAAAACTTAATTGTAAAATTGCCCCCATTACAAGAAAGTTTTAGGCAATCCCTGTGATTAAAGATCACAGTGAGATTTATTAATGGAAATTTAGAAGAAAAAAAAATTTAATCAGCTTCTTCTTCTTCTTCTTCTTCTTCTTGTTTCTTTGTAGTTTACCATCTTATCTCTTCTTTTTGGTCCTCAAGTAAGACTTGCAGCGTCACAATTTTGCATGGTCAACTGACTTGTTTTACTGTGTAGTCCTTTTTTTTTTTTTTTTAGGAAATATAGTGCAGATTATTTGTTGGATAACTAATTCGAATACAGTAAGAGTCAGAAGTTTTTGTATGGGCAATTGACAGAACAAATCAAACAAAGTGAATGGGATTTCTATGAACAAATCAAAAAGCTCCCAACTACTTTTTTCTGCTGTTTAATAAAAATCCAACACATTGCTTTTGTAATAAATATGATGTGCTTCTTGTGACTGCTAGAAAACAAATTTAATAGGCCAAACCAAAAATTTCCCATCTACTCACAATGCCAAACATGAGATAATGGGCAAGTTGTTTATTATATCCACACAAAACAAAAAATACTATTTAATGCTTGGTTTTCATCTTCATTTGCAATCTACCTTTTGGGAAAAACATATTCCAATTGCAAAGGGTATAACACTATTTTGCTATTCTCCGTTAATAATGTTATGCCACATGGGAGTGTTATCACACCAGTCATAGCATTATTAATTGGGCTATCCCCGTTTTATGGGAGTCTTTCCTTTTATTTTTCTTGTATGACAAAAAATCTGACAATTTCACGAAAAACAAAAAGAAAATCTGACAATCAAAATGCACACTACTTTTGCGATTCAAATCCAAGTCCAACCCCCCAAAATTACAAGGAAGTCTACGATGTTCTAACATTGGTTTTGATGCAGGCACAATTTTGAAGCTCGAGTTTTCGATATTTTGAAGACATTGAAGTTTCGGATAAGTAGAGTTGATGGAGACAGAAAATAGAAGATGAGAGTCAAAAACCTTTTTTTCTTTTTTATAACCCATTTGTCATGCAACTACACAAAAAACAATAACGTGACCCTTGCATTTGTTATTAATCTTATAATCTGTCCAAAATAAAAAATGAAGCTAGGAACAGTGAAGCAGGAATTTTGGAGGAAACTGGTGGAGCAAAGAAAATGTACCAGTTGGATCTATTAAACAAAGGTACAATCTCAGTACACGAAGGCCGCCCTCAAAATTGTCCAGTCAGGCAGTTCCTCATTTGATCAAATTATTGGACCAATCAGACTCAAAGTCGGTGCCTTTACAAAGGGTCACCCAAATTGACTTCAAATTTGCATTGGTTGATTTGTGTGTACGGCCCTATAGGTTCCAATTCAGGAGTCAAAAGCAAGGAAATTTAGCTATGGGTAGGCTCCAAAGTCCATATCCATGCATGAATTGGGGGGTTTTGGATCGTCACCACTTTCACACTGGTCGAAAAATAATATCCACCAACCTGCTTCTTCTTTTAAAACCACCATCACCAAGACTTGGATGGATATGAACGAATCTGTCTTCTTCTTCTTCATCTCCTTCCTTTTAAAGATCAAATTGTCCTGTTGTGGCAAGTGGACAAATGAAGATGATATCTCAAAGCCGATAATGAATGATAGGAAAAGTAATTGCATCAAGAGTTGACTTTGGAAGACAAGGACACAAGCAAAACTGCCTTTTTATGCATTTAAATTCACAATGCAAGTTATGGGAATTCCTGCAACCATTGTACACAATCGGCCTCTTACATCCAACTCTTCACATGCTGATCACGGGACAAATGGATTTGAGACATCCAGTCCAATGGTTATAGGGAAGATTTTCTTCATATGTGGAGGGGCACCTTGCAGGCTTTGAGAAATGAACTTAGAGAACCAGAATTGGTGCCAAAATGACTGAAAATTTTCATCATGCAGAGAATTCAGTCACCTCACGAGTCAACTAAAGTACCCTATTTCATTAGTCGTAGAATTTGGACTCCTAGTTAGTCACCTACAGGTGCCCTATACAAACTACAAGTAAAACCCTCACAGTCGTGTTCATTCACCGAGTAAGCCTTTCTTCTTTTGCTTGAAGGGCATCCACTTCCTCGCTAGATAGAAGATCAACAATGGGTTCGTATACATCCCACTCCTTTCTTTTCCTGATAAATTTGGGAGCAAAGTGGCAAACCACTATCAGTATCTCAGTTTTAACCTTTTTCTAACAACTCTATCAACTAAAAGAAAAAAGTTAAACACACAGTACTGAATTTAACCATAATCAGAGGGTTAAAATGAAAAACCTTGATATTGAACACATAATATAGGGGGCACTATCATTGGGAAGTACTTGTAACATTGAGCTCAACCTTGAACTGTTTTACTTCACTTACAAGGATGGGTGCATGTAAGAACTTAATATCCATATGTATTTTGACAGGTTTAAACCCATTCAAGCAAAGTATTGACTTTAGTTTCTTCAAGAGCTTTGAAGGGGGTAAAGTATCAGAATGAAGGTTTCATTTTTCCACTGTTTATGGGGACTTCAACATGTTAAATTTAGGCAAAAAGTCACTTTTGATCCCTGTAGTTTGTCACTTTTACCACTTTGATCCCTGTAGTTTGTTGACTGAATTGCCCCTTCACCACTAACAGAATTAAACAAATTTGACAGAAATTGAGAATTGTCCTTGAATTGCTTCAAATTGAAACTACAGGGGCAAAATTGACCAAATTGAAATGACAGGGACCAAAGTGGTAAAAGTGACAAACTACAGGGACCAAAAGTGACCTTTTGCCTTAAATTTACAGAGTGGTTGATAGAGGATTTAGTAAGTAGCTATATGCAGATGAAACAAAATTTTAATTTTCAAAATAAATAAGATACAGAACATAGGCCCATTGCCTTGTTGCCAAAGCATTTTTCTCCTTGAATTAGATCGAAACAAGAGTGAGTTGGTGATTATGAGTAAAGTTGTTGCTATTGGAACACTAACAGTAAATTTCAAATGTAAGGCGTGAAGATTCATTCACCTATAAGTTCTTCTGGCAAGCCAAACACAGAAGACTACTCTTGATTGTGCTAAAAGAAGATAAGCTGTTGGGATCTGTAACGAGTGGAAGATGATTTTAACCCATAGAATTATATTAAGTATGCCAACATATCTTCTGTCTTAGGTCAAGGTTATAGCATCTCATATGCCACGGAAATTGATTTTAAATATTAAAGAAAAAGTGTTTTGAATAAATGGTAATTTCATAGTATAGCTATCCCAGGAAGATTTACTGAAAATATATGATCTTGGTTGTCGGAAGGCCATTAAAAGGTGTCTGTACCTTAATGAAGATATTAAATTCCCATGTTGAACCCTAGGGAATTGCGTCCCTGAACACTACTGGAAAAACTAGAAAACCAAACCTATGGAGTGAAGAGGGGCCTAAATATCACTGGCCACAAGACAAACATAAACTCCAAAGAACAGCAATGGTAGCATTTTTAACATAAACAATGAAGCTTTCCAATTTAAGAAATTCCCAAAACCTAGCATAGTTAGAAGACATACCGAACAACACTAGATTTGTGACCGAATAACTTCACCAGGTCCAATCCAGTACTACCTGCTTTACTGAGAGAGAGAGATTCGGAGAGAGAGTTAATGACATATATACTATCATGTAGGCTTTACAATGTATATATCTTCCTATCCTAAAATAAATTGTGTTCAACAGAGGGGGCAAAAAATAAATTTTATTCATTCTTCATTTTATTTTAAAAAAGTTGAACACACAAACCTGACTGGAGTATACTCAGCCCCTCGGCGTCCCTTTTTGCTTATTCTGTTTTCTCTTGCTGATGCTACACTTTGCACTGCAATCTAGAAGATGAAACAAAAAAAAGACCATAGTAAGTGAATCCATATAAAAAATTCATTCACATGACTTGCATAATGTAACTCATATAAAGGTAGCATAATAAATGCACAATAGTTCGAAGAAGCAACAAAATCTAACCTCATACAGTTGTTCCCTAATTGAAAAGGCAATTGCAGGCTGCAAAAAGAGAATCACTTCTGTTAGCAAAACTGAAAAGACATCAATATTCCAACTTTGACACAAACCAAAAGCCTTTGCATTTGTTTAAAAAACTGATACGATGACTTACCCCCACTTCAGGATCTTGAATACCTAAATCTGCGCAGAATGTTTTAGCAAACTCTTCAGGATCACTTTCAAAGTTGTTCAAGTCCTGAAATCCCTCGAAACGAATGAACCCAAGTGTAAGAGCAGGAGGTATTGAAAAGATAAGATGAAACAAACGACTGTTGAAGCTCACCCATAAAAACTGGTCCCTAATGAGAGTATGGTTCACTCGAAGATCAAGCTGAGAATAACACATCACAGTTTTGTTGATAAGCAAAAAGCATTGAAAGTTTGCCACTTGCCAGAACAGATAATCAAGTTATAATATGATAAGGGGTAACCTTAATTGGCACAATCCTCTCGCCCGGGTACATATCTTGGCCTTCCAACGACCGAAAGTCTGCAATCTGTGACTGATCAGAGAACATGGTCATAAGCTATCAGTGTTTAGTTTTCAGTAGAAACTTTGATGGGAAAATTTGACATAGTTGAAGTGCCAACCTGAATGGCAGAAGCCATGACTGTAATGAAACCCGGAGGAAGCTTCAAGTCTTTTGCTGTCCTTCTCGCAAACACCACAATCTCTGAGTCAGGGTCTGCCATCAATCACCACACAACAAAACCCATAATTAACTTCTGCAAACTGGGCAAGAGTCAAATTTTAAATATATTTTTTTTTTAAATGAAGAAAATCCAACTTCTACCAGATGGGTTCCAAGTGAAAGTGTCTTTGAACTTTTGGCCATCGACATCGAGGTCCAAGCGAATCGGTACTAAATTCTGGGCTGTTGGCCTGTCCATTGTAATTTGTATACATAAGGTAAATTTGGCAATAATTCGTAGAAGAAAACCAAAACACTTGAGAGAAAACGGAAAAGAACAGAAGAAGAATAAGATGCAAGAAACTCACATCCTAAACTTGACAGCGCCTTTGTAGGAACTCGACGCCTGACCTTTCATGGCTTCTCCCTCCTTCAACCAATTTTAGATTTCTTCAGTTAATTCGGAGCGGCTGACATGCCCGACCCGATTCTTCTTCTTTTCTTCGGTCCGAGTCTCGGAGATTCTTCCTCTTTATAAAAACCCTCCCTACTGCTTTCTTTCTTGCACTCTTCAACGGGCTTGACGAGCTGCGGGTAAATTCAAACCCGACCTTCCAGGACCCGCTAACAGATTGGATTGGGCCGATCCTACCCGCCAGTCAGTTGTGGTTCAATAGCGTAACGAGTTGGTTAACAAACAAATGGACCTAATAATCGAGCCTCAATGCCAAATTGGGCTGGCTATGTTTTGGTTTTTTTTTTTGGTTGGATTCAAACCCGAGACACCTCCTTATATTGGTTAGTCGAGTTTTATTATTGTTTTTATTGGGCAAGGTAATATTCTAAAGGACTTTTATGTTCAACGGTCCTTGAACAAACCTGATTCGCATTTTAATCTCTCAATTTCCAAAATAATTCCGTTATCCTTTAATTTCACTTTTGATTACATTATTGGTTCTTTATTGTTAAATGCAGGGGTAAAATAGTCTTTTATGATGTTTTTAGTTCCCACCATTCTAAAAACCCATCTTCCCTTCCACACCTCCCTGTAAACCACCCTTCTCTCCCCTCCACCATGCTCCCCACCTCCTTCATCACACGGCAAACCCACCACCCCTATCTACCTCGTCCCCCCCACCCCTCCCTACCTGAACCCCTCACCCAACTTGACCATTTCCACTTCCAGACCAAACTCACCATTTCACTTCACCAACCACTCACTCCAGCCACAACCCACCCACACCCCCTTCATCTCCCATATACCTTTATTAGGGCATAGAAATAACCAAATCTGAGATGAATTCACAAAAAAAAAATAGAGATATTTAGTCATATACCCATTCTTAGCACTAATAATATAGATAAACTGTATACCATTTAATTTTTATAAACAAACTCAAAAAATGACAGCTAACCCTATTGAATTTAATTTTGATTATTAAATTACTTTGATGCCCTATTGAGTGTTTTGGGCTTTTTTTATGAGGTTTTGAGGTTGGGTTTGTTTTAAGAAATCAATGTCAGTTTTGTAATTTAAAAGAAGTTAAAAGCTTTTTTGTTATGTTGTAAATGAGTTTCGGGTGTGTTTCTAAAATTTATTTCATATATGGTTTTTTTATAATTTGGGCTCCTATATTGGGTATAATAGTGAATCTCCCAAAAAAAAAATCTAAGATAAACCAAAGCTTCAGAATGGAAAAAGATGATAAGATGTAGAGAAAGATCCAAAATATCAAAGAGAAATCAAGAATGTTGAAAGACGAATTGGAATCAAAGGGAAAATGAGGTAGTTAACTAATCCAATTATCACTAAGAACAAAATCTGCTACAATCCTTAGTATGAAGTGATTTCGTGGTTCATACCAAAAACAGAAGTGATTTCATGGTTGCATTCTCTGCTTCAGATTTTATTAGTTTTTAGTTTTTTTTAAATGGTCCATCATTTTTATTATTTTTAAAAATATTTTTTTTTAATATAAATACATGTGTTATCTTGTTAGTAGGCCACATCATCCTTTAAAGAGGAGAGACAAGTAATTTCCGTTTTTAACTCTCAATAGTACACCATGTGTCATGCACCTGCTCAAAATTGGCAGAAAAAGCTAACGAAATTGACGTCAGGACTAATAATGCAATCAAAAGTGAAGTTGAAGGACCACAGGAACCATTTTGAAAATTGAGGGACTAAAATGCGAATAGAGTTAAAGGTCAAAGACCATTAGACCTAAAAACCCTATTCTAAACTATTCTAACTTATGAGGAGGGGATCCCAACTTATGTGCGAGATCATAACCCAAATCTACATATATTGGTTCTTGGTTTAAGGGTTGATGGATGGTATTGGAATCAACTTAATTCAAATATTATATTTATTGTGGTAAGTTTTAATTATTGAAATCAAACTTATAAGAATTGGGGTATACCAATTACAGTAGAACGTATACATTAGAATTTCTCCTTAAATAAGGAGAATACTTTGGTTCATTCTCATAAAAGTAGTTATATCTACTAACATGTTAATCACAGTTTAACATGTGCACATAATTTTATTTTATTTTTTAATTTTGTATATTTAATAAGTTATTATTATGTATATATCTAACTATGACTTGCATAAAAGAAGCAAAGAGGAATAGCTCCTCCCATTGTAGACTGCCAAGATGGCATCATCATTGATGAGGATGACTTGGTAGCTAAACTGCCTAAACTTGGTGGTGCTACAATTTTAGTCAATAAGAAAGAGTACGTGCGCCATTTGCAATTTGCCAAAAGAAAAGAAAAAAGAACCAGTTTAGGTTCTCTCTCTCTCTCTCTCTCTCTCTCTCTCTCTCTCTCTCTCTCTCTCTCTCTCTCTCTCTCTCTCTCTCTCTCTCTCTCTCTCTCTCTCTCTCTCTCTCTCTCTCTCTCTCTCTCTCTCTCTCTCTCTCTCTCTCTCTCTCTCTCTCTTTGTGTGGCAGCTTAGTGGTTGGTTCACCTAATAACATTACTCTTCTGCCTGCACTAATTGAAATGGCCTGCAAAGAATAACAAGAAGAATAAACAAACAAACAAATACGTCCTCTCTCGCTCTCTCCTTTCACAATCTGACTTGTGTGCAAATATACCTACCTGCCTACCTACATATATATCTACAAAACCTCTACAAGGGTTTTGTGGGCACAAAATATACACTGAGATGAGATTATGAAGAATAGCTTCCTATTGCTTTCGAGGCACCACATGACCACATTTCACGAAATTGGGCGGTCAATATTTGCACTCGTTAACATTATTATTAGGATCAAAGTTATGATGCTTGCTTTGCAACTTTTATCTATCTTTTGAATTGATCTCTCTTCTGCAATCAAAACCATAGGAATCATGAGCATGATGGCGTGCACGTCTAACAAGCTCACACAACACAAGCCGGAACACGTGTACCCAAAGAGTCTTTGATTGAGGATCTATCACAGTTTGATAATCATCATCATCATCACATAGAGTTAAAGGCTACAGAACTTGTTGTCACAAGGGACGTGAAGAACAAGGTCTTGAGTGGCTCGGTCTGATCACGTCACACGTGCGATCACTCTCTCAAAAAAATTAAATAAAAAAGAGGGTTCTTGTTTCGCGATAATGATCGTACGGATGATGTGGTCGGAAGAATTTATCGACACGAAGACCACATCCCACCTAACAATGCGAAAGCACACAAGAAAAAATGAAGACCATCATCTATGGTCCCATATTAGCAAACCTTCCCTACCCTCATAGCATATTTTCAAAAGCTCCATGTTGTTTTCCCTTTACTTTTACTTCTAGAATAATTGGCTCCACAGAGAAAAGGAACCAAGAAAACAAAAGCAAAAAAAACGTCTACAAATACAACTGTTATTATATTTGATAATGTACAGAATATTGGATGCAGCCCCAAACTATGTATTAATCTGAATTTCTTTTGAGTATGTAGTTATGAACCACCACTAAGACAAAACTGTATCGGGGCAGAGTATATCTACTAACTGAGTCTGAGATGACCAAAAAAAAATTAACTAACTCTGTCTGCTCTGGTGATCTTCAATCTTTTCACAGTTGTCAAGAATATCCTGTGTACCAAACCCAAAATGAGAAACAAAATGTAAGGAAAACAACTATGAAAAACATGGAGAATCAAAAGTTGGTAAGCTTACTCCCAAGGCACATCTCCAACCAGCATCCAATCTCCTTCTTGATCTTCATAAGTCAGCACTTGATATTTGTCTGAATGAACATGATTTTCCTCAGGACCTGCTTCCAGATGGAAATAGCATTGAAGCTTTTCTTAGTCAAATACTGTGACCAAAATAATATGAACCCAACTATGATTTGATGTGATCTCATGATTGGAGGTCCTAGAATTTGTGTTTAAGAACAACTTACATAGAATGGTGGCCTTGAACATGAGGCTAAGAGTTGCAATCAAAGCAGCATAGCCATCATGTGCAAACAGATTCAGTTTTCTACCAATTGGAATGCCTTCCATGTAGACCTTCACAAATAAGGAGGGATGGTCTGCTTTTCCTGCAAGTCTGCTCCTCAAGACAGATTTGATTGGTGGCCAATTTATCAGTGCTTCCTCCCTGAAATGTCAACTTTGAGTCAAAACATACATACCAAGTTACAACCACAAAAGTCGATCTAGAACATATTTTGGGAAAAACCCAAGAAAACTTTTACTTTCTTCTTGTTCTTAAAAAAAAATATAATAAAATAATTTGTACATTGGTTGGTTCAATGAATGTGATATTAGCATACCCTGGGGTTGAAGTGGAAGACAAGTCATTGTGACGAGAGGGGGAGATGCTAAGGCCAAGTCTTAGATCAGTGCCCAAATCTGTTCTTGTGTTGATATGACTGTTACCATAATTGCCATTGATTTTCTGAGAAAGAGAGGAAGAAGATGATGAGCCAGCAGGCACAGGAAGAAGAAGATCAGGATGGCTGCTGCTATCTATTGAAGAAGATGATGAATGTTCAGCTCTTCCCATTTTCTACTCAGATATTAAGACTTTAGAGAGAAAAAGCCGCTATCTCAGGCCATGAATCTCTGTGCATGTATATATATATACACACACAAACTACAAAACAAAAGAGAGGGAGGCAGGCAGAGCCAACTCCCAAACAACTGAACTAGTCATAAGAAGACTCTAGTCAGTTTTTTTATCATTGATTTTGCTACCAGGGTGGGCCCACCATGCCCACTCAGCATATCCTGCGTGGCTTTTTCCTTTATTTAAAAAATTTAACAAGTGTCAAAATCATTAGTCGTAAGGAGGAGTTGCTCTTCAGTTTTAAAGAGCCAAGCTCTATTACAAGCGGTATTAGAAAAGGACTCGAAGAATCAAACCTAGTACCTTGGATGTAGGGGTAAATGCCCTTAAATACTTGATACAAGCCCTTTGTTCAATTTAATTTATTTTTTCTTTTGTTCAAGAATCAAACAACACATATAGAAAAACAAAAGTAACCACCACCTACTCAGGGCCTAAACAGGTGGAAAAAGTTCTGAAGTATTTAATTATTCTATTTTACCAGAGAAAGAAAACTTACGTACTTGTTTTGTTCTTATGGATATTTACTGCTCATCTCCTCAAAAGGAGAAATTTTTACTGCATTTTTCTTTTCACATTCTGTGGTCGTGTTTCTATATCAACATTAATCATGCTGCATGTTGGCAATCGAATTGCATGCAGGCCCTCCTTGATTATAAAGTGGAGAGTAGATAAGTGTTAATTAAATCACATTTAATGTCCCCACTTCCAGAGTTGTACAAGTTTTGAAGAGGCTGCCTCCCATTCAAATTGAAATTAGTGAGGCCTTTAATTCATGTTCTGAGTTTTTGCTGTCAAGGAGAAATGTTGTGTTCCATGGTTGGTGTGTACGTTTTTGCTATGACTTCGTAACGAAGAGATGTACAACAGAAACTTTTAATATTTTATTTTGCACAAGTTATATTAGATTATACTATACAATGTGTTTTTTCTGTTGACATGAAATTAAGTTATATATGGAGAGAATTGGGTGTAATAATGATGGCACCCACAGGGCTATAGACAACTTAGGCGCATACTTGGGTTGGATTGGATGTATGTCTCCTTTGCCAATAATATTTGTTTATGTTAAACAAATTTTAGACCCTTGTTAATCCAAAATTCCAGACAAACAGGACCAACCAAACAAAGGAACTTGATGGCCAGACAACTGTTTCTTTTAGCAACCTTATTTTAAATAATAAATAAATAAACATGAAGTGCAGATGAGGAAGCAAAGGGAGTTGCCTAAACCAAGGTGGTTGGTGTGGGTGGTTCGGCACTCTCATTCCTTAAGAGAGGTCAAGGGTTCGATCTCTGCTCTTGTACGGAGTCACCACTTTGGCTAGCACTTTACCCCTTACGGGCCGACCCGGTATGAGCGGGGATTAGTCTGAATTGTGGTTAAGGCTTAAAGGTGCCACCCATAGTTGGGGCCCATCCAGGACCACCTCGTGGTTCAGACCAAAAAAGAAAAGAAAAAGGGAGTTGCCTAGTGCCTAGTGGAGACAAACAAGCAGATATTTAAAGTTACAAATACAGACTTTGGAGAGCAGATGATCTGCCCTCTTGCACTTTTTTTCTTTTCTTTTCTCTTTTTATACTTTTTAAATTCTCTTTCAGGATTTAATTATTATTAATCAGAGTATATTTTATGATTAAACACCTAATAAACAGGATTTCTTTAAAATGGGTTTAATAGGTCTCCTTCCTGGGACAGCCTTCTGCCCTCAGGCTTCAGCCATGCACATACACCTTGTCCCTTCACATTAATCCCTCTGCTCTCATATAGACTCATGGTTATGACAGACGAGCCACCATCAATTAATTATTTATATTTATAATTGTAATAAAGTGAAGTGATTGCTTTCCCACCACCACCACCCATCAGACAAAATTTATAAAATCATCATCTACCGCCTTCAATACTTCTTGTTGGCATTGGCAACACGCTCTCCTCCCTTAAATTACATTCATATCTCACGTGATTTAACACAAAATTGGACCTTAATTTTGTTGGCCCCTTTGAACACTTGATTGGTGAAAAGAAGCAATTTTGAAAAGCTATCCGACATGAAATTTTAGTAGATAAGAGAGACTCGTACATACATCACGTTGGCATGTAATAATTATTAATCGTTGATATATATAAGATCACTTACATTAACGGTTGATGGGGCGAATGTAATATATCTATAGAAGATACTGGATGAAATCGAACCATTTTCTATTGGTAATTATGATAATGGACGAGGTTACAAGGGACATTAAAGTAATTGAAAGGATGAAATGGGGGAGACAAAGATGGACATGAGGTTTGAAACTTAAAACAAGTCTTAAAAGTCGTCGGAGGGTCGATGAGGTGTTTGATAAATTGTTTCAAAGACTTTTGAACTAATCCAAGACGTCTCTCAAAAGCGAAGACAAGAGCTCAACTTTATGAAACATGCAATCAACTAAATTCCGCACCCAACGCCTATAAACCTACCTCTCTCTCTCTCTCTCCATCGTCTGCGAAATTATTCCAAAATTATTTAATACATGCACTTGGGTCTCTAATACACGTGCAAAAAGAATGCAGGATTAAATTAATTATTTTAGAATCAATATATATATATATATATATAGTGGTGATTTTATATATATATGCTTTTCGCAAATTATTGTTTCAAGTTTAGCCCTCCTCACACACGACCAGTTATCATGTGTTTGTAAGCATCCCTCATTTGAGAAGTGTCCGTGACCTGACAGTTCCTACGAGTGCTCATGACATGGAGAAATTTCAAATAAAACCGTTGATGTGTTTGAGCACGTAATGAAAACCACATACATCAACGATTCATAACTGAGCTCGTGACATGTTACCAACATTCTTTCCTGGTTTGAGTAAATCTTATCCGCCATACATAATGCATTACACGAGAAATCAATGTTCCATGAGAACAAACAGTTCAATTATGTTGTTTCGTTCCAACATTCCAACAATGTGATTTTTTATGTGTCATAGGTTATCTATTGATGTGACCAAGGACATCTGCCACAAGTCATATAGTTTATCTAAATGCATTAAAAAATTTGTTTGCATCATACAAGAGTCCCGTTGCAAGCGTCACAAAGCATAATATAAGTCTGGATCTCAAACCAAAATAGAGGTAGATTCCTGCCCCCAAATCCCCTCCCCCTTCAAATGTCGGGACAGATTTAGCACTTAGTATTGATGATCACATTTCTAACAGAGGAAAGCTATGTCCATGTAAATTCTATCTATTTGAAAACTCATATGTATTAAACATATACTTAAAATGTGATACAAATAGCGACATCAGTTGGTAAGAAATTTATTTGTTTGGAAAGAGAGAGAGAGAGAGGGGTAATGGGGGGACAGGCAGGCAAGCTTGGTGGTGAAGAAAGGTAAGGGTCCAAAGGAAGTGAGTGGGACTTGAGGGGAGAAAGAGAAAGATTTGGGTTGTAAACCAACAAAAGAAAGAAGGGTAAAAGAAAAGGTTGTTCCCCCAATGTTGCTTCGGTCTGCCACAGTGGCTTTGCCAATACATATCTTTCCCTTGCTCCAATGACATTGATCTTCATCTTAATCACTTTGTGTACATCTCAAGCATTAATATATATATCCACCATATATAAGCTTGGGAAAGCTTTAGCTCCTCTCACTTTCAATTAGTTCCAACCCGGACCAACCCTTAGCTCCCAACATCTAATTACCACTGCCCCCATTGTCACCTACAATGTCAATTTTCTATTTATTATTTTTTTCTTTCACGTCTCAAAATTTATGAACCCAATAAAGGCCGCTAGATAGATATTGAAGAAGAACCCTTTCTTTTTCTATAACAAAAAAAAAATTAAAAAAAGAAGAACCCTTTTTTTTTTTTTTTTCTCTCTCTCTCTTTGAACTTTATTCTGTGCCTACTAAATGGTCCTCCTAATCTACTACATATAGAGCTTGATCTGGTTTCTTTTTTGGGTCGTCCTTTTCATTCTCAGTCAAATATAGGAAGGTGTTTGAGTTACTGCCTCACTGGTGTGGGGCACGATCCTCTTTCTAGGCTTGCTTTGTGGAGTTTTCTCTATGCTGTACCTATATATGTTAGGTGGTCAGGTGACCTTTTGCTAATTTATTCTGAAAATCACGACCATCAAATCAAATCCTATTCCTTTCAAGAGAAGTGTAAACACACCTAGTCTCAATGCTATTTGAAAGATACTACAAATACTACAAACTGAAGAGAAGAAAACACCTCAAATAACATTTTTATTGAATTTCCTTTCTGAAGAACCATTGTTGAAGAATATAAAGTCCTTTCTGAAGAACCATTGTTGAAGAACATGTAATGAATGGTTCAACTATTAACATTACTAATGTCTTTTGTGATAAAACCTCACAAATATTGGGCTTTGTAGGTGGTTAAATTGAGGACAATATCAGTGTTGCTAGTAGTGGATATGTTTACCCTTTTTTATATTTGAGTGTGTTGAAGACAAAGTAAATTTCACCATTAATCTTTTAACCATTTAATGGTTTCTAGATTAACTTTCTTTATGCGAGCATGCCACTGTTAGAAGATAATACCCTAGCAGATTTGAGTGACTTTATATACTTGCACCCCAAGTAATAGACTTTAAACAAACGATTGTGATTTTGGGTGGGGAAACCTCCCAAGATAGTTCTTTTCTATGCTTCAGATTGGTGAGGATTTCACAACTTATCTAGACAAATATGGTAAGCAAAGAAAAATACACTAATTTATGGATAACATAACAAACGAAGCAGAACTGCCTGAAGCACAAAGTATCAGATGAATCTCTAAATCTACGTAGTTCTTAGAGGTATTGGACTTTGACTTTTGCTTGAAAACATAGTCACAATGATGACTTATGATCAGGCTAGACTGAATTTTGTTGACTGGACTGAATGTTTCTGTACTGGAATTGCACGTCAGCACCTTCAACTAATATGGATTAGCTGGAAATCGATACCAAGTTTGAAGTTGGTAGAGCTATAAACGAGTTGAGCCTTGAAGAGGCTGGGAAAGTGGTCAGAACTGCAGGTGGGTACTTGTTCTAGTCGATTCTTAATGATCTGGAAGCTATCTAGATGACTTCAAGACATTAAGATGTCTTTGAAAAATTTGTTCATGTTCTCATATAATGACATACCTGACTTTTGCTTGTTTTATCTAATTTGCTGAACCAAATTTGTAAGAAAAATTCATCTATTTTAAATTCTGCTTGATTTACCTTGTCTTGATTGCAAGGGAAATCTTGTTTTCTTCTTGGTTTTCTGAACTTCTTCTTGAGTTGGATTGCTTATGAAGGAAGATTGGTTGCTTGCTTTTGGTAATTGCAAAATTGTATGACCTTTGATTTCTTTTGATAAATCTGGATTGATTGTTGAGTTTTTGTTTGATTAGCTGGTTGATTGGGTGTCTTTTCTCCACTCCAGTCCTAGCTGAAGTGAGCAATAATGCCCAGATTCTTCCAACATTGGTACCATAAATATCCAAGTATCCCGGTGGTAGAAAAAATCCGATGATTTTCCAATAAATAGCCATGTCTTTTTAAGTAAAGTAAGTCTCACCTTACTTTCCAGCTTTTAAGGTTATCAATTTTCTTTGGATTCTAGCAACCAACGGTGAGGTTTTACCCTGACAAAACCTTAGCCGCTAATAAACTGTGATCTTTTGGGAAAAACTATTTCAACCAGCTTTGATTTTTTTGGATTGAATTACCATTAATGGTACTTTATTTCTCAATTGTCAAAAATGTGAATTAGCTTAAATTGATTACCAATAGTTGAATAGTATGGGCTTTTTACCTTCTTTTGGTAAACGAAAGCCCAATACCATTTTGGAGAGTGAACCCAATACTTGTTTCGAGCTGGCGCGTATATTTCCGGTCCAAACAGGATTGTTACCATGTCTCTTCAAAATTTAACAGCCAGTTGCTGGTTTTTATTTATTTATTTTTTATATTTTAGATTCTTTGCTAAATGCCCCTTTAAATAGGAAATTTCAAAAGAAAAACATTAGAGGTTGGGTATGGTAAAAGAATGATTCACAATTATTAGCGGCTCAGCCCACCTAAGTTTGGACATAAATGTGGTCAACTTCAGCCAAGAAAAACTCCTTTTCAGCCTTGAGCCCAATTCATAAATAACTCCCTCGAGAATTCTATAGTGAGGGTCTTATCTAAGGTCCTGTTAAAAAACTTGTTCAAAGACATGCGATCAATCAAAAGTATGTGTTCTCACAAAAATTTATAAATATGCATTAGATACTTTATTTAAGTTGTAAGGTTTTTACTAACATGCAGATGTAATCCCTACTATTATTCTTCAGTGGGCAATTCTGATCATACACCTGAATTTTAATAACATTTCTTTGAATCATTATAGCAATAAGGCAAACAAATTTTTGTCATTTCCAGAAGTAATTTTACATGTAAGATACCAATCTATAGCTTAAAAATAATAAACAAATCAATATAATGTCAATTACATGTCACACACATGACTCACCAAAACAAACACAAGTAACACCTTGTACCTATGATGAAAAGAGCTAAGAAAATCTAGCAAATCCCACACAAAACAAAACGCATGGTCTTTGCCCTCTTGTATGTCCTCACAATTCCGGAGGCAAGCACATGAGGAAACACCAGATCAATCAACTACACCACAGGTTTTTAAACCTCCATATATAAACTATCTTTCTCTTGACAAAACTTACTTGACAGGTTCTTCTGCTTTGACTTCAGGTGAGAGGACTTTTGAGCTGGGAGATTTCCCAATGATAGCTTTCTTCACCTTCACAATAGATTGCTTCACCTTTGATATGATGCCACCTGATTGCTTTTGTGCTGCTTTCACTGAAACATCTTGCTTTTCCTGATCTTTGGAAGCCTCAAGAGTCTCAGGCTCAGTTTTTGACTCATTTGCAGCTTCTTCTGTATTTTCCAACTTACTTGCATCATCCAAAGCCTTGGCTTCTCCTACAGGTTCAACAATGGCAGAAGGCACAATTACCTCTTCATTCTCTTTGATGTCCTTGTACACATCTTCTTTGACCAGTACCTCTTTAGCCTCACCCAATTCTCTATCAGCAACTTCTGCAACATTTTCAAGCTTATTATCACCCTCAGTTTTCTTTGCCTCAGTCTTTTCAATTTTCTCCTCAGTTTCTTGTTCTGTTTTGACAATCTTTTCTTCTTCCACTTCTGCATTTTCACTCACCTCAGTCTCATCCTTCAAAAACTTTCCAACCTCATCAACCACACCTGCTTCTTTCTCTGTATTCTCAGCAACATGAGATACTTTTTCATTTGCTTGAGCTTCCTCAATGGCTGGGACAGAGCTTTCAGTGGCAACATTTTCTTCAGGCTTGAGTACCTTCTCAATATTTCTTTCCATCTCTAATAAAACTTTCAACTGTTCATGTGGTTTAGCCTCCACTTCATTTACTGGTTCTGAATCTTTGACAAGAGATGTTCCCAAGGTTTCCTCCACTGCCTGACCAGCTGCTTCAGTTGATGGATCAGCCTCAGAAGCTTCAACCTTTGGCTTCTCATCATCTATCTGTTTTTCAACTGGCTCAGTAGCTGGCTTCTCCTCTGGTTTATTCTCTTCTGCTTCCATTGCTTGTGTCTGCCCTGCTTCTTTCTCAACTGCCTCAGTTTCAATTGTCTCCACTAGTTTATTCTCATCTGCTTCAATAGTTTCTGCCTTCTCTGCCTCTTTCTCAGCTTCTTCAATTGCTACTTCCTCCACTGGTTTGTTTTCAGCTGCTTCAATAGTTTCTGCATTCTCTTCTTCTTTCTCAGCTTCTTCAGTTGCTACTTCCTCCACTGTTTTGTTTTCAGCTGCTTCAATAGTTTCTGCCTTCTCTTCTTCTTTCTCAGCTTCTTCAGTTGCTACTTCCTCCACTGTTTTGTTTTCAGCTGCTTCAATAGTTTCCGCCTTCTCTGCTTCCTTCTCAGCTTCTTCAATCGCTACTTCCTCCACTGGTTTGTTTTCAGCTGCTTCAATAGTTTCTGCCTTCTCTGCTTCTTTCTCAGCTTCTTCAATTGCTACTATCTCCACTGGTTTATCCCCATCTACTTCAACAGTTTGTGCCTTCTCTGCTTCTTCCTCAACTGATTCAGTTGCTACTTTCTCCACTGGTGTATTTTCAACTGATTCAACTGCTGGTTTCTCCACTGGAACATTTTCAATTGTTAGACTCTCATCTGCTTGGCTTTCAACAGCTTCACTGGCTGAGTCTTTTGTGGTTGATGCTTCTGGATCCTGATCAGAACTCTCAACCTCTTTCGCGCCCACTTCGACTGGAACATGATCAACCTGGCCCTCGACAACGATAGGATACTCCGTCTGGTTATTCTCTGGTGTTTCTTCAGACATACTTGAAATTAACTGAGACTCTGAACCATCAGATTTCTCTGCTACAACTACAAGATCTTCTTTTTCATCCCTTTTTCCATCGTCCTTGGATGGAGGACCTTCAACCTCTTTGCTTGCATGTGTTGTTTCTTCATGCACCTTTCCCTCAGTTGGCTGCCATAAGACAAATGATATTAGCTGCAACATAACATGACCAAAGAATAGAACACACAACCAATTTCGAATCATAGTAACAGATTGGTAAAAACAACATCCACAAATCAAGAAATCCTCATGAGACCTAAATTATTAACATATTGCGAGTTTTCTACGTATTGATCCGTGAGTTAAATGAAATGAAAGTTGGAGACAGACAAATTGTGAACAATTGAACTGCCAAAAGAGATAAATTAAAGAATCTAAGTTCCATAGAAAAAACACAAACATATTACAAACTAAGCATACAGCTGGAGAAGGGGGTGCTCTTCAAACAGCTTTAAAGCAAAAACTCAATATGTTTCTTCTACCAATATCTACTGGACACAGTGAGTTGCAAATAAAACTACCAAAATTGGAAGGTTTCATACACAGAAACAAGTTTGGTCATGGAAGAACAAAGCCAGTCTAACTGTGGCTTGAAAGTGCTTGCATATCTAAACATACATGCAAAGAGTTATATACATATCATACACTAGACCTATACATATCAACTCCTCTGTCGGTAAAAATAATGAAATATATACGCACACAACATCTAACTAAAGAAAGAAATAGAACAGTTGTAAAAAGTAAGCAGGTTTACCTGATCATCAGCAGGAACAGATGCAACAGTAGTCTCAGTAGACATGATGGCTATGGGATGAGAATCAAGAAGCAGAAGAAGAAGAAGAAGAAGAAGAAGAAGAAGAAGAAGAAGAAGAAGAAGAAGAAGAAGAAGAAGAAGAAGAAGAAGAAGAAGAAGAAGAAGAAGAAGAAGAAGAAGAAGAAGAAGAAGAAGAAGAAGAAGAAGAAGAAGAAAAAGAAGAGTGCTTTACTTTGCCGGTTGAGCTTCAAGAAACAGAAAGGCAAATAGAAATGAATAGATAAAGAGCAAGCATCCTATATATATATATATATATATATATATATACATAAAAATATATATTTGAGAAAAGCACTTGACAGAGGGGTTTGTCACATGAGCTGGTTAGGCATGTATGAAGGCGTCACATATCACACTAATCCCAGAAGACAACTCACCCTTCCCAGCCTTAATCATATTTAAATAAACACATAATCTTTCATAATAGAATAACACTTTAAATATTATTCAATCTCATTTCTTCTATATGTACATGGTGGCACGCACGCACAAAGCCCCCCCTCTCAGTCTCAGACTTTATCATTTCAGGTGTATTAATATATTTATATTGGTAAATAGTGAGGATATACAAAAATTTACAGATCAAAAATCTACCTAGCATTCAGGCCTTGGCATGCACCAGGCTTGCTGCTGACAGCTTGTTGGTTGTTTTTGGGAAGTTCAGACTTTGACCAGAAAGTTAAAAGCTTCCTTCCCCAACTTGGGCTTGAAGGTTCAGAAAAAAGTAATAGTCTTTGGCATGTCATCACAGAAAGTGATCATGAGTCATGACCTTCTACTTAATTGATTTCTTTTTTCTCTTCTCAAAGTACAATTATTTAGATGTTTACTTGGTTCCCATCCCACAGAATGACCAGCCTAAAGTGTTTCAAATAGCATAAAATATATGATAAAGTCTTAATCAACAACCGCCTTTAGAATTGAAAGCAAAGCAACCAATATTCTTAGGGATGCAACAGAGAATGTGAAGTTGTTGATTGGCTTGCCAGCTTATGAACAGATGGACAAATCAACCGACTATGGAGTTGTATTCTTCAGGGATATTTAATCAAGATTTTGTAATCTAAATAGATATGGGGATTGTTTTCTTATAATTATATATTATTGATACAAGTAATAGTCTAAACTAATTTAAATTACGGGAAAATCGAATTTGTGTGTAAATAGGCGAATTCACTATCCTAACCCACGTCTGATTCTTATAATTATTAATTATCATTACCAACGTGACATAACAGAACAAAACATGTAGAAACTTAGTGAAACACATTATTGTTTGGGGGGCGATGATGGATAATAAAAGCAAGTTCCAAAAGCTTCTCTGAGGGAGGGGGTGAGGATAGACAGAAAGCAGGGTATGCCAAGAACCCCACGTTGTCAACTGACCCAGGAGCATGTGGAGAGGCAGAGGCCAGTCCACCTTTTCTTTTCTCAAGAAAATGGACCACTCACTTCTCTCTCCCTGCTGCTTTATATCTAATATATGATCTTTCTATAACCACGTTATAATTGCCGAAGAGAAAAGGCAAGTGATTAAGCATTTGATATGTCTCACTTAATTGCCCAAGTAGGCCATCTGCTACATGTACAAGATGGCCTTGGTTTAGACGTGAGATTGTAGCTCTTGTGGGCTAAAGGCCAAGCACGTTCATCCTCTTTGCAATTGGGACTTGGAAGGCACTCGTCCAGTTGTCCAGGCAATTGGCAAACATGTTTTGTCAGTGTCACTCGGAAAAACTTCGATGCAACAGTTTTGTACACATATTTTTGTATCCGTCTCTCTCAAGTCAAGTGATGAAAGGGATATAATGAGGAGGGTATGAAATAAAATCAGGATATGTAAGTTTTTCTCCATCTAGCTCAGAGCTCCCAAGTCTGGCATATGCTATGGCGCCTGTGAGAGCAAATTTCCTCCCACGGGAATATTCGCCTAAAGATTCCTTCGTCTTCTCCGCACCTCTCTCTCCCTGCAAAACAGATCGGAGTAAAAGGACCACACCCGGGGGGTGTTGGCCAAAGGCCCTCCGATGCCTAAGTTAGGATGGGTGTTTCAAGGAAAACCGGGTGGCCGGAGCCGTGTGTGGAGGCCGGAGCCTTGTGTGAGGGAGAGAGAAAGAAGATGGTGGCTAGGGTTTGTGGAGAATTATTTCTGCAGAGTTTCAGTAGGAATTTAGACGTACCTTAACCCTTGTGTGTAGCTAGGTATTTATAGGAGCCTCGGAGGCTAGGGTTTCAGAGGAATAATTCCGTAGATGGAAAGGAATTATTCCTCCCCTATTAGGCGAGATTTGATTAATTAGGGATTTGATTTATCTGATTTAAATCAAATCCCTAATTAGGGTAGGAATCAAATCAATCCCCATTTTAATTAGGTAATTGCCAATTTAATCGGGTAACTGCCAATTAAATTGAGTAACTCCCAATTAGGTCAAATAATCCCCAAATGGAAGGAATTATTTGACCTAGGGTGATTTAATTCGGTTCCCACAGCGCCAATATGCTTGAATCATGTTGCCCTAGATCTCAAGCCAGTTTGTCAACGCAAGCACATAGTTTGAATATCCATATCTCAATAGCTGTAAATAGCTCTCTGGCTGTCCATACAGGGCCCATTCATTCATTGTGCTTAGGGCGTGCCTTGAATTCAACTCTGTTTTGCTATTTGGACAAGTCCCTTCGACTTTATTTCAATTTTAGAAACAACCCAATGGGCCAATTGGTACCACCATCGCTTTTTGTCAAAAATACAATAAAATTATGGATTGGTGTAAAATCATGAACTAGGGTTCTAAATTTAACATTGAAAATGGTAAAGATTTCAAATTCGATTTCCCGCTTGTGAAAGCTGTGATCTTATTTATCTTACATGAAATAACACATTCGAATCTCTAAAAGGAGAAGGCCAATTGGTACCACTATCAATTATGGATCAGTGTAAAATCATGTAGTTGGACAAAACACAACTAAATCCTAAGCTATTATCTTATTTCTAACTAGTTCTTAATACAACGTTGGAAATGAAAAAGATTTTTCAAGTTCCAATTCTCGCGAGTGAAAGCTGTGATCTTATTTATCTTACATGGCATAACACATAGGAATCTCTAAAAGGGTTGGTAGTGACAAGTGAGGCAGCAAGTCCAAGAATCATGGATGTACAGCATGCAAGCACAGAGGCAGGCAATGCATGATGCGAGAATGGTTCCAGGAGCAGTGAATTTTGTGGTCTTTGACATACCAGTGCTCTCTCTGTCTGTAAAGTTAAAGCAAACTAAAGCAAAGCTTTCCAACTTTTTGACTTGCTCCATATCCTATTTATTTACTATGTTTTGGGTATGTGGATGCACACCAGGACTTGGCCCACCATGGTTGGTTGAATTGAAACTTGAATGCGAAAGATGTGATTATGGAATATTGTTTAATAGGAATTTGGATGATTTCATTTGTTTGTTGTTAGTTTCTTCCATAATCTATAATAACATATGCCTTTAAAAAATTATATACCAGAGCATAACATGTTCTAAAATATTAATGTACTACCTTAAAAGAGAAAGAAGGGAAAGAGGAGGAGGAAGATTATATATATAGTTTTTATTGAGGGATCTTTCATATAAGTTTATTTGAGGGACACTCTTGTAGTGTCTACTCCGCATTGTATTTCACTAATTCAAACTGTCTATTTTGTATATATACATTCAAAGATCATCTCTATAAAAAAAAAAATCACTTGAATCTGATATCAATTTACCACTCAATTGAATTATTGAAATTTTAGTACTTTCTTGAAGTATCATGTTCATTGATTTTATAGGACATGATTAGATGTCAATGGTTTCTAATTTGCCTAATTTTTTGTAAAAATGATCTATGAATGAAAACCTAAAAAATAGATAGTTTGGATCGTTGAAAAAAAAAATTGTAGAATACCCTAAAAGGTATCCCTTTTACAAAGCAATATCCTAAACTACTCTTATGCACGAAAAGGGAATCGAACTCCGGTGGAAGGCAAACACACTGCCTTGGCTTATTGGCGTAACATACATCTGCAAATAATAATATGTTTTTAGTTTGGCCGTTATTGGAGAAAAAGAGAAAAAATGGTTGGTTGTGTATTGTTGTGGGTTAAAGTGGAGCGCGGCTGTGTTTATATCAACGTGTTCCTTCATGAGCCAAAGCTTTGCTCACAACACAAGTCTTCATATCCCATCATACTGCTCTGCTCTGCTTTGCTTTGCTTTGCTGCCTCTACACTCAAAAACCCAAACAAACACACACATAAATCAATATTAATTTATTTCATAACCTCTTCATCGAGAGAGAGCGAGAGAGAGAGAGCAGAGCTAGCTAGCTGCTAAAGCCATGTCAGTCCCCATCAAACCAGGAGATGGTAAAGCCAAAAACCCCATAATGCCCTCCAGTTTGGACCAACAGCCATCTGGGTCTTCTTCACTGAGGCCTCATTCTCTTCTTGTTCATCAAAACAACAAGAAGAGCAAACTAGGTTAGCTATTTTTAATTAGTTTTGTGATACTTTTTTGGTGACTGGAAATTAATAATGCTGCACATTTTTATTTTATTTCTATTAATTGTTGATTTTGAATGTATATTTGTATTGTATGTACTGGGGTCTTAATTAGACGTTCCTTGGTTTTGGTCATTGGATGATGATGATGATGATGATGATGATGATGATGATGATGATGGTGATGGTGATGATGGTGATGATGTTAATGTTCCAGAAGAGAGCGATGAAGATATGTTCACGGTTCCGGACGTGGAGGCTTTACCTCCTCCTGTCAATAACATCACTTCTAATAATACCTCTTCCACCACCAATGCCACCAGCAACATCAGCAACACCAGCAACAATAACAACCCAGAAGCTCAGTCTGGCTTTCTGGCAAAACGCCGAAGAGGCCGGAACCCAGTTGATAAGGAGTACAGACGACTCAAGAGGTACTATTTATGAAATATTATCAAATTAATTAATTTCTTCTATATTTTGTTTTACACAAGTTATTTGTATGTACAAATTGCATGCATGCACATATAGCTAGGAGACAACTTGCTACTATATATAGGCATGTATAGGTATGAGAAAATTAAATGTTGATGTGAAATAGATATAAATATATATGGGTCGATCTGATCATATCAGCTTAGTAATAAGCTCATTGAAATGTTTGTAGTGACTTATCAAAAAACTTGTCCA